GGAGCAGTGATTTGGGGGGAGGAGTTAATTGGGGGGAAAAGGGGGGAAGGGGGAGTTAATTAGGGCTGATGAGGGTAAATTCGTGGTGAAATGGGAACAAGCTTTGCATCCTACATGTCCACTATATTGCCAAGGGAGTCTCTGTCCTCCTGCTGCATTTTCTGCTATTTAAATCAAAATAACAAATCCATCCATGGGAAGACTAAAGCAGCACTCAGTCCTCAGGGGGTTATTGGGAACGCACTCATAGGAAATACGGATTGATGGAGGTGCCATTTACCAACAAGTTTGATATTCGGGTTCCTCTTCTTGGCCTCTTTCATCAGCCACCACTCGTACCCGCGGAAATAGTTCTGGTCGTCTGCATAGTGCATGTGGGACGGTTCCGTGCCGTCTGAGGAGGAAAAGAATTGTCGGCATTCATTATGTTGGCTCTGTATGATCACATGATCCCAACACACTGCTAACATTCATTATATTGGCTCAGCATGATCACATGACCTTATAATGCTATCCGCATTCATTATTGGCTTTGCATGACTGCACCCCACCGCCAACATTGATTATAATGGCTCAGCATGATCACATGACTCCACCACACTGCAAGCATTCACTATATTGGCTCAGCATGATCACATGACCCCATCACACTGCAAGCATTCACTATATTGGCTCAGCATGATCACATGACCCCATCACACTGCAAGCATTCACTATATTGGCTCAGCATGATCACATGACCCCATCACACTGCAAGCATTCACTATATTGGCTCAGCATGATCACATGACTCCACCACACTGCCAGCATTCACTATATTGGCTCAGAATGATCACATGACCCCATCACACTGCCAGCATTCACTATATTGGTTCAGCATGATCACATGACTCCACCACACTGCAAGCATTCACTATATTGGCTCAGCATGATCACATGACCCCATCACACTGCAAGCATTCACTATATTGGCTCAGCATGATCACATGACTCCACCACACTGCAAGCATTCACTATATTGGCTCAGCATGATCACATGACCCCACCACACTGGCAACATTCACTGCTACCTAGATTCAGCAGTGTGATTTGTGCAGCTTTACTGTAGCAGATATCTGGATATCGGGAAATTGATCATCTCATTGCCATCAGACTATTGAGAGGAGATCAATGAGAGAGCCAAATGTCTGTTTAATTATGTATTGGAAGAGGGGATCAGTGAAGTACAAGCACCGCACAGCACTAATAAGCAGAGATCAGACCCTGCACATACACAGGGCAGATACCATCATCATTGTGCAGATTTATGTTTACATTACACATAAGTCACACAGAGAGGAGTCCTGCTGGTAGTTCCAGCCCGCTATGTGCGGCAAGAGACGAGGCTGAGGGAGGAGATGACACATGGCGTACGCAATCCCTCTTACATGCTTGTGTGGCCGCCTGTAGACAATACAGCTCATAAGACACGATGTGTAATATCCGGAGACTGACAGGAAAACCTCAGTGCGGGCGCTCGGCAGCCCAGAATGACCGATCTGCAGTCTCAGAGTGGAGATAAGACGACGTTCTGCGTTTCCTGGAAGTTTATCCGCCGCGATCTCTGAGGTTTCTGCTGATATCTCTGAAATAAAATGAGGTCACCGCCATCCGTACCCCACTTCCTGCGTCACCCCGGAGAGAACGCAGCGTGAAATGTCACCACCGCCGAAGACACAAAACATGACCTTATAGAGGAACCGAAGACGGGGCGCCGTGTGCGACCTATGGAGAGGCGGAACGCCATGATTTGTACATAGGGCGGCAACAACTAATCATTAACCATCGATAATGACCATTGTTGGCAACGTCTCTCATCATCGATTAGTTGCCACTGCTCTGCTCGTCCGTTCTCCTTCCCGCTGGTGACGGCTGCAGCCGCCTGTGTCCCTTTCAATCCCCGCATGTATCTGCAGAGGCAGCGGGGACATGGACCACTGCAGCCGGCACCAGCGTTGCCACCAGTTGGGAGAAAATACTGTGCAGCTGTACAGCTGCCCCCCTCGTACCACCACTGCTGCCTTACTCCTCCTCCTCTGCCCGCCCCATTCCGCCTCTGCCTGCCCCGTTCCATGCCTCCTATCCCTGCCCCCTTCCTCCTCCTCTGCCCGTTCCCTTCTCTGCTCCCCTGTGCCCCCTCTTCTGCCGGTGTTCTGTCAATCCCTCAGACTCGAGTCCTAGGAATTGATAGAACATTGGCGTCAAGCCAGCTTTCTATTGGATATTTTAAATTGCAAAAGCCAATAGCAGACTGGCTATTGTACCCGCCCATTGCCTGCTGCCAATCAGCAGAGGAGGACTTTCTCTTTCAGTGAATACACTGCAGGATAGTCCACCTTGCACATCAGGTAGTGCAGTCAGCACCCCCACTGAATGGCTGCTGAGTGAACACACTGCAGGATAGTCCCCTGTGTGTCACAATAAAGGAACCCCATGGCGCTAGTTGGGGGTCTGTCATGCTTATCCGGCGGCTTCAATATTTTAAATCCCTGATCCAGAAAAAATACGCAGATTGGAGGTTCTGGTTTTCCGATCGTCTTCCGGTTCATTCAGTGAGAGTGCTGACTGCACCAGCTGATGTACAGGGTGGTTTATCCTGCAGTGCATTCACTCAGCAGCCGTTCAGTGATGGTGCTGACTGCACCAGCTGACATAGCGGCAGAATAAGCCACGCCCCTAAAATGCTTCCTGAATGTATCTGGGGGTACCGGTCGTGTGTGGGTTCTGCACGTTACACCCGTGTCAGTCTTCTGTTATTAAGGAGAACTATGGGGTTAAGGCTTTTCCCCATAGTTCTCCTTAGGCCCCATTCACACTGAGCGATTTATCGAGCGATTTTTGCAGCGATATCGCTCATATTTCCACACGATATCGCTCTATGTAGCTTCTCCAATCCATTTCAATGGAGCTGTTCACATCTCGCCGCTCAATATCGCTTGTAGCTCGTCGCTGGTAGCTTGTCGCTCCTACATGACCCTTTTTTCAAGCGATTTTGCTCCTGATTGCATACAGCCTTATAGGAAAAAGTCGCGCAATATCGCTCGAAATTGCGCGATTTTCATGTCGCTCAGTGTGAATGGGGCCTTAGGGTAACGGGAGGACACAAACTAGCGTCCTCCCGTCACCCTAGGCTCAGTATATAGGGAGCTACAGCTCGCGGTATACTGAGACGACGCAGCTGGAGCGGATCCCGACATCAATGTTGTAGTGAAAAGCACCCCCCCCCCCTCATAGTTCTCCTTTAAGGACGGGGTCACTTTAACCTGAACGGTGCCATTTCATAGGTGACATTCCTGCGTTGTACGTGTAGCGTTGCCGGGAGTCCCGCGAAGGTCATATTTCTTAGCGCTTGCTGTTTGCGGTGCTGGCACTCCGAGTCTGCTTCCTGTACATCACCCCCCAACGTGCAGACACTGAGAGAGGAAGTTGTGGTTGGCTGACTTGAATCTGCAGACTTCCTCCTGTGATCCGGGGAAGTTTTACCATCGCGGGGGAAATTTCATTTTTCAGAATGTAAAAACAAATGCGAAAGTTAATTTTTAGGAATCGCGCCGCGAGTGAAAGGCGCCATGACCTCTGAACTTCCCTGCTCCCCCCCCCCCTTCCCCATGATATGGGTCTCTGGGCTTCTGTATGCAATGCAGGCAGATCATGGCTGGGGGAGGAGTCCTCAGCCCTGGTGCAAGCAGTGGGCTGGCTCTTGGGAGGAGTTATGCAAATATCAAAATGCCTTGACAGGTGCGGGTGTGTCTGGAGGGGTGGGCGTGCCTAGGCAGGCTGTATTTGCATAAGTAACGCCCACATGTGATGCTGAGCCTCCGTGATTGAAAGGCCTGAAATCTACCGAATGAAAGGGGCGGGGCCAGGGACAGTCAGGCTGGGGAGGAAAGTACTAGATGATGCTGGACATCCTGAATAAAGAAATCTAAGGACTGGTGAGCTGCAGTATGTCACTGATTTAAGTTCAGATTCTCTTTAAGAACCCCTGTGGGGGATTTTTCCTCTTCTTTCGGATGTTGGGGGCCCGTTGGAGAGATTTCACATCACTTCCTGTCTCAGAGATAGAACAGGAAGTGAGGGAAAATCTCTCCAGAGGCAGGGGATTTTACCTCTTAGTTGTCAACGGAACTGGTGTCCCCCATGGAAGATTTATCCTCTTCCTGGTTTGGTGACAACTGGAACATTTTGGACTTCCCCCTCTCGTTGAGAATGGTCACGGGGACACAGAGAGGACGAATCTCCCCAGAGGGGACACAAATGACGATATAAGGTTGGCAGAAGTGACAGGAAGTCAGAGAGAGCCAAGGGGGCCCCAATCTGGAAATGTCGGGTTCCCAGGGGACTTCAGGGGAGAATTTCTCAGCAGAGATCCGCGCAGGGCTGAGGATCTGATTGGCTGTTTAAGCAGAGGTAGCCAATCAGTGACCACGCCTCACGCAGATCCCGCCCCCCCGCTGTAGAAGAAATGGAGGGATCACTTATTCCCCCCGGAGGTCCGACCTCAATGTACACCATTTACAGACATAATACCTGCCCCCTCCCCCCGGAGGGATTTGGGCTCCTCGGGGGCGGGCACCGGAGGAGGTTGGTAATGTTTTGTTTATTAGCGGCTGACACATAATGGCGGACGTCACCTGTGGTCTGCGCATCGCCTCCGATTTCCACTTTAAAGATCTGCAGAGAAGCCCCGAAATTCGGCTGCAAAAAGAAAAAAAAAAACAACAATGAGTGGAGACGTCTCCATGACGATATCACTGATGATTGTCACATGACCCAGAGGAACCTATAAAATCTTCATGTAAAACATCCAACCCCCCCGGCAACCGTCCTGTATACA